CATCATTATTTAAAATCTTATTAAAGACTGTATTGTTCAGAATATGCTTTCATGATAAATAAAGAGTAAAATTTCAGCATTTTCCTCTTACACAAGCTAACTGGTTTTTCTTCAAGCAATTCCATTTTGTCACTACTCCATCAGAAATACAGTACTGCAAGGAAGAGAGGCAGAAGTAAGTCCAGGAAGCCTCAACAACCATTACCTAAAAATTATAAGCCATGTCAACTCATATTCTAGTACTTAGAAAAACACAAGCTTCTGGAAGTGGTGGTGTGGCTTAAGTGGTAGACCACTCTCCTTGAGCCAAAGAGTTCGAGGACAGCATCCAGGCCCACAGTTCAAGCCCCACGACCCATTTTTTTTTTAAAGGGAAGTAAAAATACAAGCTTCCAATATAAGTGGGAAGGAAGTCAAGGAATAAGGAGCGATATGGACAATGGATTTTGTGAGCACCAAGAACCAGCCATTATTTGTTAAGTTTTTAAAAAGAGGTAGCCAAGTAAGAACAGCACCACGCATGTGGTATTCAGGTAAGGGGTAAGTTTATTCAGTAGACCTGCCGGGACCAGGCCAGGTTGGCACTCCACAAGGCTGGGAAAGGCCTGGGAAAGACCTGAGAAAGAGAGAGAGCTGGGAAAAGAGGTAGGAAAGAGCTGGGAAAGAGGTGGGAAAGACAGAGAGCTGGGAAAGAGAGCAGGGAAAGAGAGAGAGCTGGGAAAAGGAGCTAAGAGAGCTGGGAAAGAGAAGAGAAGGAAAGAGCTGAGAAAGAGCATCAGGGCCTGGGCTAGGCCTTATCTAGGGTATGGGCGGAGAAAGGTGTGGCCACATCAAATTCAGATGTGACCTCAGCAGATGCAGATGTGATCTCTTCCAGGTGTGCCAGTTGCCTAGGTAACGCAGGTACTGAGTGGAGACTTTGCTGTGAGGAGGGTGGAGTCTGCTCCCCATCCAGGAGTGGACCTTACATTATTATCTTTCTATTAGTCAGAATTTGTGCTGGGTACTAGAAGATTTCAGAGAAGATTCTTATTTTATTTTATTTGGGGATGGGGGTGGGGAATAGTGGACTTCACACTTGCAAAACAAGTGTTCTACCACCTGAGCCATGCCTCAAACCCTGCTGTTCTCTTCTCTCTCTCTCTCTCTCTCTCTCTCTCTCTCTCTCTCTGTGTGTGTGTGTGTGTGTGTGTGTGTGTGTGTGTGTGTGTGTGTGTGTGTGTGTGTGTGTGTATTGGTTCTGGAGTTTGAACTCAGGGCCTAAGTGCTGACCCTGAGCTTTTGTGCTCAAGGCTTTAGCATTATCACTTGATTACTTGAGTTACAGTTCTTCTTCCAGCTTTTTGATAGTTAACTAAAGATAAAAATCACATGGATTTTCCTACTTCATCTGGCTTTGAACCTCAATCATCAGCTCTCAGTCTTCTTAGTAGTTAGGACCACAGGGGTCAGCCACAAGCCTGGATTCTGGTTATTTTTGAGAAGAGGTCTCAGTTTTTGTTGGGATCAGGAATTTGATCTGCTTGTTTGTGTTTCCAACAGTAGCTATGCTGACAGATACCCACCACCCTCACACTTTTTGCCTAGGATGATCTAGAATCACGACCCTCCTGATCTCTACCACCTAAATAGCTAGGATTACAGGTGTGAGCCACTGGTGCTCAAACCATCTTTGTTTTCAAATAACCTAAAAGATTGACAAAGCAGATAAAATATTTTCTCTGGTAAAAGAATATTGTGAAGCCAAAAAAAAATCACAATCCAAACTGAGGCATAAACTGTATTTTATGAGAAACTATTTTATAAAGGAAGTTAGAATCAATCTTCATGAGTTAATAAGGAGTCCCTGAAATGCTACCAAACTGATGATCCAGTTGCTGGCCCTAAAGGGGGTGAAAGATTTAGAGAAGTTTGATATAGATTGAAGTTTAAAGAATGAGAATTGACAGAAAGATATGAGAAGAAATTGTATCTCTGATTCGTGAATGTGAGGTAAGCTGGGGAGAAGGCTCTGGCTATACTGGCACTTAGGATTTTCGACTTAGGATTTGTGGACTATGAGTCTCTGAAAAGGGAGCTATATCCCATTCTTTTTTTTTCTCCTATTATTGTTTCATTTTATGGGTAGATATCTAGGAGAAATTTTTTTCAAATTTGTTCAAAGCCAGCCTGGGCAGGAAAGTCCTTGAGACTCTTATCTCCAATAAACTACTCAAAAAATCCAGAAGTGGCACTGTGGCTCAAGTGGTAGAGTGCTAGCCTTGAGCAAAAAGAAACTCAGGTGACAGCACTCAGGCCAGGTTCAAGCCCCGGAACTGGCACATACACAAAAAAAGCAAACTTGCTAAAGTATGGCTTAACACTGTCAGAAGTGATGGATAACTATAGGCCAAGAACAAAGATTGTTCTAAAAAGGAGAGCGGCATAAAAGAAAAATTAAAAAAGAAGGGAAAAGGCAAAGGGTGGAAATTCAGGACATGTATCATCTTTGTTCTTCTTCCTTTTTGGAAAGGATAGAAAAATTACACCTGAGCTGAAACAATATGTCAATGGTCAATGCTCAAGTTTGTGACCTTGAAGTGTGTCTTTAGGTTGCTTCATCCAAAGTTTATCATCCTTGTTTTAACCTTAAGATGAAATGTTTATAATCATGGTTAGACAGTCTCTCCTTTTCAAATACTTAGTATGTGTTATATAAATATTTGCAGGTTTTAGGATTAAACACTACAGCTCTTTAAAGACTATTCTGCCCTAGATTTTTGGTTTTCAGAACACATCTTTGTTCCAAACATTTTGAAGTTATTAATAACCAACATTGCTTCCTCTCTGTAGTGAATATGATTGAATACTGACATTATGTGCTAACATAGTGTATACTAGCATATTGTGCTATTGAACATTAATATGGTGTGTACTGGCATGGTATGTTATTGAATATGAACATGGTGTGTACTGATCTAGTGTGTTATTGAATGCTAATATAGTGTGTACTGGCATAGTGTGCTATTAAAAACTGACATACTGTATAATGACGTAGTGTGCTATGAAATACAGACATGATGTGTTATTGATATGGTAGGCTATTAAATAGAAATATACTGAATGTACGTGTGCTGTGAAATAATGTGAAAGGTTAAATGAGGAGTCAGGAGTTAGAAGCTAGAATTATGGAATGGGTAGATAAGAACGTACCCAGGGAAGGTGCAGAGCCATCACCAAACCAGCCATGCCCTCATCCATAACCAGACCTTGACCAGAAGCACAGCTGTCCCCAAAGACAACCCTGGCAATCAGACATAGCCAGAAACGAAGGGCCAGCCCAAAACATACAAAAAAGCATACAAAAACCCAGGGCAGTAGAGACCCAGCAAAGTGGCCACTTTTCCCTTAGTGGCTCAGAGCAGCCCTGAGGACACACTCAATAGACTTTCCTAGACCTCTGGACCAAGTGACCTGCCATTTGAGCTTCCCTGGGTATGGGGCATGCTTAGGAGGCTTAGGCCCCGGAGTTAGTCATTGGTCTGGATGGTATTTGAAGTGCTTAAATAAACGAAGTGAACCATTAAGTCTAAGCATATTGCTATAGATATGCAAACTCGTCACACTCTCTTAACATCTTCCAGTCCCTTCATGTGTCATCTGACTTACATCTTAGGAAAACGATAAAAAGTTGACATCATTTCTATTTTGCAGCTTCTGATACTGAACTTTAAAGCTTTGTGCCTGTCCATGGTCTAGTTTTGGCAAAACAAGATGATGTGAACTTCCCAAGTGGTTTTTATACCTCTATGTCAATCTCCAATCTAAAATATATTAATAACCATGAGTATCTATCTTAGTAGAAAACTGTACTACAAATTCTTAAAACAAGTTCTGTAGCTCTGTGTCAGAGTGTGGGCCTAGCAAGTACAAAATACTAAGTTCAGTCCTTCACACTGCCAGAAAACAAAGTATAAAGCCAAGTTCTCAATTGCAAACCTCCAGTTATTCTTCTGGGCAGTTTCTTTATCTCTAAGTAGCAATTCAAGTTAAAGAAATTTTAAAAATATATGTGCTTACATGTTTATTTTCAGCCCTTCCTCTTTCCAACTTCCCCAACAAGTGGAGTTTAGACAGGGAAAGAAACCAAACCAGTAAACGGAGGGAAAGACCATTTTCCTCAGTAGTATTATTTGTGGCCAAATAACTGGATCTCTTCTTGGAGAATTAAATAATTGGAGCAACTAATATTAAAGGCAACTATTCACCATGACTTCCTTTTTTTCTTCTTATTTCTTCTTTTCCTTTCAAGGGCTGTTCTGTGTGCCTTTCTTCTTAGTAAGTTTATCTTTATCTGGGTAAGAGGTGGCTGAGAAGTCTCCACCGCCCCCTTTCACCCGGCTCCAAGCCCTGACTCCCCCTCAAAAGTCCTTAAGTCAATAAACCTCTCAACCCTTTCTATCAATGAGCTCCTAATGAGGATTTTCTCGTTCCTCTGCTTTCTGCCCAGAGTCTCTCTTCCAGAGGTTGCTCAACGAGGCAAGCTGAAGCTACCCCTCACCTGCCTCCCAAGTTAGGCGCCAAAGACTTTTGCAAAACAAAACAAAACAAAACACAAAACAAAACCAAACGTGTCAGGGCCAATGGGGAACCGGAGATCTCTCCGGGTCAAAACTAAAATCCGAAGTGGAGTGCCACAAGCCATCCTTGAGAAAGCGCCTCTAGCATTGACAGCGGCTCGGAGCATGCTCAGTCTGTCTCCTCTCACCCACCCTCCCCTCCCCGTAGCGGCCCCACCCCCACCCCCCTCCAAGCCCGAGCCCAGCCCGCGCCTAGCCCACGCCCAGCCCCGCGGTCCTCCTTCCTGCACCCCTGGCCCAGCGCGCGCTCCGGGGCACCCGAACGCGTTCTTCATTCCGCCTCACCCCGCGTCCTCCTCCTCCTCCTCCCCCTCCCCCTCCTCTCCCTTCACCTCCTCCTCCTCCTCCTCCTCCTCGGGCTGCAGCGGGCGAGGACACGTCAGGGGACATAAATAAATAAATAATTCCATTCACCGGGTGACAGCGTGGTGAACCGGCTGCAGCGCTGGGCGAGGGGGGGCAGGAAGTGGAGAACTGCGGCGCCCACCCGGTGCCAGAATCAGGTAAATTGAACACCCCCCCCCCCCGGGAGGATCGGGATGGGGGAGGGAGGAGGGGAGAAGAGGAGGAGGAGAAGAGAAAAGTGTGCAAGGCGTCCTTGATCCGGGCTGCCAGAAGAACCTCACTGGTGTGGTGGACGAATAACGAGCAGCCGTGACACAACGGGCTGCTGTCGCACGCTTTGCAAATGCGCCCTTATATAGACACAGAAAAAATCCACCCCATCGCTGCAGCCGCCCGGAGTGCTGCTGGCCCGGGCCGCGTGTGCGCGCGGACAGGGGCGCGGGAGACGCAGGGGCTGGGGCGGGGGCGGCGGGGAGCGCGCGCCCGGGTGGTGGACCTGTGGGGTCCCCAGTGGGGCCCGAACCTTGACATGGTCCATAGGCCAACAGCTGCCCGCGCTCTCAACTGGGCGCTTCACAAGGTGCTGCTGTGCGCTGCTGTCCCCTGGCCCCCACCAGGAATGTCCCCAATGACCCTTCCCCAGCATCTCACCCGGGACCCCACTCTGGGGTGGGGTCCTTAGCGCAGTGGGTGGAGACGGGGTTGGCGCGAGAGGGAGTGTAGGAAACTGTTTTGCTTTGGGTTTTTTCTTTTTTCTCTTTTTTAGCAGATGATTCAAGAGGCTGGAAGGAAGGAGAGGATGAAACACTTGGGTGTTGTCTTCCTTCTGTTTTGGTCCCTAGGCAGCTGGGTGGAGGGGGAGGCAGGCAGAAAGGTGGACGCGGGCAAGGCCTAGGGTGGAGGCAAAGGGTTGTGGGGACCCGGTGAAGCCGGGAAGGGCCTGCACTGGCAGGGCTTATGCAGGGCTTCTAGGTTCTCTGCGTCACACTTGGGCCATTGGTCCTGGTCAGGTAGTGCCAGTAGCTGAGAGCCTGCTCACGTGTGAACTGTCTCTTTGCTCTGAAGATTTTATATCGCATCTCACCTTTTCGTCCCTTTTCTACTTCAGCTCCTTAAATCTTTCTAAGGCCACTTTTTTTTTTCTGGGTAGGACCAGGGAAGGAATTTTGTGATTTTTTTTTCTTTCAGGAAAATTATACTCTCTCTCTCTCTCTCTCTCTCTCACACACACACACACAAACACACACACACACACACAGAGAGCAGAAAATAATACTGTCCTGCACGTGTCTCATTTCCTTTTCTGGGGGTATTCCTTTCTCTCTTAGATCCAAAAAGAGATGCAGCAGAGGAATAAAAATAGCCGGCAATGATGAGCATTGCATGTAAAAAGGAGACTGGGAAAGAGGAAATCGTAGGCTCAAACGCTGTTTCCTGGCACCACAGGCTTCCTGGCTTATGCCCACGTAGAACTCACTTGCAAAGTTTTAACCTTCAGGCTAGTTTGAATGTGCCTGTGTCCCTGAACTACCAGTGAACTTAGGAAAAACTGGCTGCAAACTTCCGAGGTGGGTGTGAGCTGCCAAGGGCAGATGAGGGTTGACCAAGGTGACTCATGTTTAGCTCTGGTGAAGCAATCCCAGCTCCGCTTTTTGTGTCTGAGCACATCGCAGAACCACTCCGAAGTGAGGGCAATTGAATGAGCTCAGTGAAAGCAACCTTGTAACCATAGGCGACTGTAATGTCTTGTGTAACATTTCCTGAAGTCAGAAAGCACTTTTTTTTTTTTTGGTATATTGTCACATGAACCGTTTGTAGTTATCTACTGTGTACTTCTCCTGCAGTGTGTTTTAATTGTGAGGAGTGGTTTGAAATGGTAACACTAGTTTCTAATGTCCAAATTAGTGCATCTACCTTTAAATTGCTCAGGTTATTTCTAGATAGGGTGCACTTAACTCTATTACAGCATCTGGCTTGTATTTTTAGCCTTGAGCCCTCTTAGAGCTCCAGAGGACAAAATGAACTAAAGCCATGCCTCTTATGGAGAATTATATTCCCAGATGTGAAGGTGAAATAAAAAGGTGTCTCCTGAACGTGCTATGAATGCTGGATTCAAGCACCAGTTTGGGGGAGATTGAAGCAAAGAAAGGAAGTAAATGCCTAGTGAGACCAAGACTTTTAAGTTTCTACACATTTTAGTAAGGCTGAACTAATTATGAGTAATCTTAGGTTCATTTTTATTATCCATAAAGTGGGATTGGTTGGACCTACCTGAAGAACATTGTGATGAATAAACCAGAAAAAAATGCAAAAACCTAGGTATTGCTGACTTCTATGTTGATGACACCTTATAGGGATTACTATAATGAATGAATTGAAATCTGAGTTACTTAGAGTAATCTTTCTTGTATCACATTTCCATTTCCTTTCCCCCCTCAAACATATGTAATACACATACAATACACACCCACACCCACCCCCCACACACATTAAAGAGTTTAGCAGTTGTAAGAAATGTTTCTAAAATCTACCAACAGGCAGATTTGAGAAAGTCTTTGGCCTCAGAAATGTGCATATTCACCCTCATTTGTCTGTTAAGGAAGACCATGCAGAAACAATAATGAAGATTTTTCTCCCTGTTCTGAGAGGAGGATACTTCTTCCCTGCAGACTATTTTTGCCAATGCCATGAATCAATTTCTAGTGTTTTAGAGACTAGACTGAGCTACAATTTTTCTATACTTTGGGCAGACCAACTCACTCATTCCTCAAAGCCTGAAATACAGTAATATTTTTAACATCTCTAGAAAGTTCAGCATACATGTGCCACTGCTTTCTGGCAACACATGAAAAACCTATGAGGTACATCTTTTCATAGCCATACTTGCAGAAGAGGGGTTTTAGCATAATTACATGACTTGCCCTGCAGGTATGACCAATGCTTTAGTTCATTTTTGTGTTGCTTTAACAAAACACTTGTTGCTAGACAAGAATTAGAGTAATTTGGTTCATGATACTGACAACTGGAAGGTAAAAATAGTATGGTGCTAACATCTTCAACAGCATCTCAATAGAACAGAGAAGTAGAAGGGAAAGTGCTACATTTCAAAGAGGTTCAAGTACTGTGGCAGTGGCTTTGTCTTTATGCTAGCTAGTCAATTTCTCATGTGTCTAATTCAGTCTTGTCAGTTGGGCATGAATCCTTTAAGAGTGAGGTGCTATCTCTCCAAATATCCCTTAAAGGCCTTAGAATATCCCAACATCATTTTGTAGGGGGCATGAAACATCAGCATGGATTTGGATAGGGACAAGACATGTTCAAACCACAACATATACTAATTGGTCAAGTTGGGACAAGTTCCTAAGCAATCTGTCCAGCCTTAACCAGTACAGAGAGCTTATTTACACTTTCTGAGAAACTACACAGGGAAAGGACATTGTCTACAGGCTTTTTCATTGTGTATTGCCATTATGGTAACACTGAACAACTGATTATAGGAAGAGTAAAAAAAGTGTAATGGAAGTAGATACAGAGGAAAAAAGGAAGAGAAAGAAACTGGGACAGAGAGAGCTAAGTGTCTTCTGCCTTTAACTCTGAAGCTAGCCTGAAATCGCAAAAGGACTCTGACTCCAAGGCAGGGTAGTTAAACCTCTTCACTTGGAATTCAACAAGTCATCAGTTCATAGTGATCTTCTGTGAGAACTAGTTAAGTATTTTGAGGTGGTGACAGACTAACAAAAGTTGACTTACCTAACATCAAAAGAAAATTACTCAACGTGAACAAGGAAAAGAAAAGGAATGAAGAGAAAGAGGAAAAAACAAAGCAAGAAAGGGGTGAAAGAAAAACAAGAGAAAGATAAAGAAAAAGGAAGGAAAGAAGGGAGGAAGGAAGGATTAAAAGAAAAAGTCTCCCTGCATTTGCGCTTATTGTAGTAATTTGTGTCCATCTGAATTGTTTTGTAGCTAGATCTGGGTCTCTTTAAACTGTTTTACCTAGAATTATAGTTTATCCTATTCCTCATCCTGAGCCATATATCTATAAGATGTGACTATATAAAACTTCTGTGGATCCAGGTATGTGATAATGAATAAGAAGATGTAGGAACTAAAATATCTAGGTTGTCTAAACTATGATCTTGAACTCTGCCACTTAACCAGCTACAGCAAACTGCAGAACCTTTCTAAATCTTCAATTCTTAATTGTCTAAGTGATAATAACCAATTTTGTATATTGGTTGCAAAGATTTAAACGTGATACTGTCTGTAAAACTGTACATACTAGTTCACTAGCAATAATACATAGTAGTTGTTGAAAGTATTACATATTTGACCTTATAGCTTTTAGGTTGTTATAAGGATCATGGATTTATTCTTCCAAGCAGATTTTTGGAAGCCCCTTGAAGTCCCAGCTCTCTCATTAGATTAGATACCATTGCTAAATTGCATAATAAATCAGTAAGTAGAGTCCTTTTGAGGAGTCATCTGGATGACCTCAAAATTGGATCAAAGTGACTAGGAAACATGTTGGAAACCACATACTAACAATTCTTTATCACATAAAGCCTCAAATCCATCTTTGTGATGAATCATCTGAGTGGTGAACCTCAAGGCTTAGTGAACCTACCTGGAAGACCCCAGAGCCTATAGTCACAGTATGAGATAATAGCCTGATATGGACTGTTGTCTAGAAGAAAAAATAACATTTGCCACATTTTAAAAAAACAAAGTTCCCATAAGAGCTGTAATAATCAAGAGACATGGAAAAGGGGTTAAGGATGGGACATCCTGATAGAGAATTTGCCTAATATGAGAGAAGCTCTGGGTTTCAGAAGCAGAATTGAAAACAAGGGAGATAGCAGAGAAAAGAAAAAAAGGAAGAAAAAAACAGCAACAAATACCTTGGAAAAATATTACTCACAAGTTGAAGAAATTGAAATCAGTTCTAATAAAATGAATCTAGCTACAAACAGACAACTTGTACCTCAGTAGACCAGAGACAATTTCAACATATTTGCAAATTGTTAGTAATCGATATGTATACTTTTTTCAAATAAGGTTCCTGACTGAATGCCAAAACTCTGATTTAATATTCATTAAAATCCCAAAGGATTTCATGGAAATCTTGGAAAGACATTTGAATGACAGCTTCAAGATTCTC